CGACTGAGTGTTCGCTATTTACATTCATTTAGATATTTGCAGTTTCAATATTTCATCCATGAAAGCAACATTTTCAAGTTTGAATCTTTCCTGAAAAAACATGTTGCTATAGCCTCAAAAAAATAGGGAGGGTTATCTGCCCCTAGATTTTATGCCGGGTATTGAGAAGAGGCTCGGCCAGTATACTGGCTTTGACTGAGTAAAGTGTTTGAATGTCTGAATCCACTTGCAGCCGTTGCTGCACAATCTTCAGTCTCTGCAGTTCTATATACAGTCGTTATTCCTCCGTTTCTAGTTTTGCAGTTTCTATTTTAAGTTTTTTCTTTTCAGTAGAATTCAAGCAGTTTCAGAGGAATTTCCAGCATTTGCAACTCGTCTTGGTTTACGTTTTGTTTCGGACATTTTTTCCTGCTTTAACACAGTGTTCGCGGTATTCAAATGGTAACATAACTCAATTAAGAAATAAAATCGACCTGAGAGGTGTATATCGGCTATTTAACACCGGTTTGGAGTTTTGATGCGTAGGAATTGACCACGAAGGCCGTAGGCCTGAGTGGTTATTTTTTTCGCATCAAAACGACAAAACCGGTGTTAAATAGCCGATATACACCTCTTAGGCCGATGTTATTTCGATTCTATCACGATAAAATAAGGAAGATCACTAATGTTATTTTTTCAAGCGGAAATAACTTCCGGTGCCGATTTTCGTATAACGCTGTTCGATTTTCGCACCCAACTGTTGCAAAGATATAGAAATTATTAAACAAAATAAATAATAAGAAAAAAAAACGTTATCTTATCAAGTTTCAACAATAAATACTTACGTCGTATTGTGTTTACATCAGTGCCCCATTTATCAAAATAACGTCAGCTTCTTTATGAATGAGTTGTTTACTTACGATGACGTCATTACGCTGCTTACGGATTGGCACCGTTTTGTCAAACAATTTATTAACTGGATCAATATGGATCAAATATGTGGCGTTAGTGTATGTGAGATATTATTTCGGTATTGTATGAAAAGAAAACATTATAAGAACTGAAAATATAAATAAAAATGCTTTTTATTGTTGCTTTAAAAGGCTTTGTAAACTATATAATCGAGGGTAAAAACATAACAGCCGCATATACAAGTAGTCCCTAACCAGTGTTTATTGGCAGTTTAACACCGTTTTTTTCCCTTCTTTGTCTATAGTGACAAAACCACGTGGAGTGATAGAATCGTAAATAACTAACGAGTAAGGAACGAACGATTGCTTAACTATCGCTTTCGAGATACCCGCGCTAGTCTCTCGTTCAACAACCTTCCGTCAATCGCTAGCACGTTCGTAAACGCAAATATAACGATAGCTTCGAGAGACTAACCCCTGGTCGGGCTTGTTACTGTGAAAAGTTGGTAGCCCAAATAGAAATTTAGTAGTCAGGGGCTATCTGACTACTGCTAATTTCGAACACTGCAATTACATGTCAATTTAAAGATCAATATGTAACATTTATTGTCTTGATATCTCTTTGATCTTTACAAAGATAATTTCAAATAATACGTATATGCAGAGATCTGCCGAGAATTTGAAAGTACTGGGCCCTGGGACCACTTGGTCTGAAAATGATGGGCCATTTTGACCAAAGTATGGGCCTTGGGAAAATAAGTAAACATTGACCTAAATGACTGTTAAAAAGTTTGTAGATAATTGAATTTCCTTTGTAATGGAACTTAACTCATATTTTATGACAAGTGGTTCACTTATGATTCAGTATTTAACAAAGAAGATAACGAATAATTAAAAAAATGCCTAGACGGTAACTTTCTAACTAATATTAATTGCAGGCAAAACATTTTTTCAAATGGCTGCTCAAAAATCTGATTTGCATAATTTATCCACATAATTTCTAATGTCTAATACTGTGCATTATCCATTTAATTGTTCCTACTTTGCACCAAATGTCCCTGTCACAATGTATATTGACGGATTTTATTACTCCTTGTATACCTCTGTGTAGAAGCATACATCAAAGACACTTGCCGACAGACTTTTTGATCATGAAAAAAGTCATGCACAATGTTTCCCTGATTGGTTAATCACCCTGTCAAATATTCTGATGACGAAATAGACATATTTTTTTACACTTCATCAGCCAAAGTTTGCGTGAACTTGAGTGACCTTAAGGGAAATCAAGCTGTACACATGTCAGATTATACTGTAACTTACAGCTTTTCTAAAAATAGCAACACTTTTTTTTCAGTTACCGATAATCATTTTAAATATTAAGTAGTTGTTTAATTTTTTTGTTTTATTGGATTAAATTTACGGTAGTAGAAATGAGTATCTGTGTGGGAAAGGGATTATGAGAAGAAATGTGGTAAGTAGAAAAAAGTGAACAAAAGCTATAGGAGAATGGATAAACTCAAGAATATGCGTATTTACAGGGGAATGGGTTGCTGTTGGTACCAGTTTTGACTGGATGACTAAATAACCCAGCGGACAGTTTTTTTTCATATAAGTCTGGCACAGATTACAGATTTTAGATGTGCCCTTGGCCCTTTGCTGCCGATTTTCCTGCACCATTCTCATTTTTTAGCGCCAAAGGCGCAAAAACGCGTCCTCGGCAGATCTCTGTACATGTACACTGCAAACTTTTTCAATTTTTGTTTGTTAGTGATCAAACCCCTGAATGATTTTATAGTATACTGTGCTCCTCTTAGTTCACGGTACGTAATGCTTTGAAACCAGAAAGATAACAACAAATGAATCTTATGGTACAAAAATTGTCATAAGCAATAACATATAGGTATTTTCTACTGTATGGCACAAGGAAACAACAATATATTCAGGCAAAGTCAATTTTAATGGACCAAGCGTAGACCATATGGCGGCCATTTTGAAAATAGTATGTCATCATTTAAATCGCGGTAATTGTGTTACATTTCATGTTTTTCATGCTTCAGTTTAAATTTCTACATGTTATTTTGCTTGATTTTAAATATGTGTTTATGTGTATGAATAAAATATGTCAATTCTGACCAAGTTTAACACCGGTCATATGAAAATATGCCATTACCGTGAATTAAGTGATAACGCGGAATTAGTGATGTTGAGTATAATTTACTCCTTAATTTTTTTTATAAACTAAACAATCTAAATAATCTATATCCTAATAAGGTTTTAATAGAGGACCGAGTTGACCTGTGCCGAGGTTGGTATAGGGCCGAGTTGACCCTTAATACCATGCCTGATCACAGTCGGAAAATAACCAAATCACGTGACTGATCCGCGACATATTTTTTCGAAAATTGGTGCTACTCCAGACCATTCTATATGAAAGACTGTTCACAATGATGCCAAAACAAACATTTAATCTTACCATGGATGTTTTCTTATTTTATTATTTTGAATTGTGGTGAATCCCACTAAAGTGGAATGAGCTGTTAAGGAACAAATTGTCATTGGGGTGAATCATTATAAATTCAGTTGAGTGTTTACAAAATCAGATTTTCTATGTTCACATCTAATTTATAAATTACCTTTTTCAACTTATTAAAAAATCTCAACTTGAAATTCCGTATCTTTATACAAGATTATTAAGTTGCTGAAGCTTAGCAGCCAGCATCAAAACTGGATAAGATAATTGTAGGTCGTATGAATTACAGTCAACCCGGCCCCAAGTCAACCCGGCCTCAAAATTGGTCAACCCGGCCCCAAAATTGGTCAATCCAGCCCCACAGTATTTTTATTTGGTCAATGCGGCCCCAAAATTGGTCAGTGCGGCCCCAAAATCGGTCATTCCGGTCCAAAAATATATATTTTTCAAAAAAAAACTATTTAAGTCATTTTGTTGTAAGATGAATAAAAATGATTTATTATTGAATTAAGATTATTTACTATAGAACAATAGTTAAAAAACATGAACTGGCATAAAATTGTCGGTAAATTTAATTTAAAACAGTAAATTATGCATTTGTTGCTTGTTTGTCAGGCCTCGACACTTTCTTTTTCTGCAGGTGGTACGCCGGACCACTAGATTTGAAAGTTAGGTGGTCCTTTCACATTGTTCGAAATTAGCAGTAGTCCTATAGCCCCTGACTACTAAATTTCTCCTCGGGCTACCAACTTTTCAAAGTAACAAGCCCGACCAGGCTATTGTATTTTCAGAGGCAATATAAACAACTGTTTTGAACAAATGAATTGTGCTAGTGAAATGTCTTTTGGGCTAGTGAATATTCCAATCTGATAGTCCGACCAGCCTAGTGGATTCAAATCCTAATTTCTTACACTGCTTTCAGAAGCCAGGTGGTCAGTTATCATTATAATATCATTTTACTGCAAATGTAGAAATGAAATGTTTAAACTTGATGACAAAGATATGTTATTAACCTTTAAAGAAAACAGATATTTCAGATATGTATTTTTTATCTAATCAGAAAAGAGAGAGCAAGTCAGTATATAGGTATTCTATTGTAGAGTTATTTGTTTGTTTGTTTTAATCTCATTCAAAAATACACAACAGAGCTCTTATTTATGTTAACTTTTATATTGAAGTGATTTCTCCCTCAACCCAAGTTAGGGAATAGTGAAACCATTTGTGTCTGTTATTTTCTTACTGTTATTCAAATATTTATTGCTGATACGTGGTACGTCTTATAGTTATGATAATAACATAGTATCTTTTATAGATTAACATTTATTATTTTATTTCTTGAAAAGTGTTTAATTTTAAAGCAAAATAAATAATAAAAAATTGGGCCGGGTTGACCAGAAATAACATTGGTTTGGGGCCGGGATGACCAATTTGGGGCCGGGCTGACTTGGGACCGGGTTGTTGACTTGTACCGAGGTCGTATACATCTGTACATACGAGTTTCAACCTGCATTAGAAAAGTTGTTAACGAAGAAAAGCTCATGTTTGGTTCCAGTTATATATCTATTTGAAATCATTTTTCGAGACAAAAGAAAAATGCCCAAGCTCACAAAAAAATACTTAAATGTACAGGTGATTATTACCTCTGCAGTCTCTATTTGTCCACTAACCATTACAAGAAAAACTGAACTTGCCGCCATGTTTGTTTACATCACATCGGCTCTAATAAAATTCGTGCAACGTGCAGTTTAATGTAAATGGCATGGCACTACTAAATTATCGACGGTCTCCGCGAATTGATAGTAGTAAACATACCCATAGGTGTCATTGATAAACTATCGGTTAGATCTATAAACACTGCAAATGAATTATGTTATACATGTAAAAGAGTGAAATAAGGAAATTATCATACATATTAATTATAAACTTGTAAAATATACTTTTTTCCAACTGAGTTTCTTATATTGTTTGATGGTTTCGATATTTTTTTTTATTTAGATATATACATTAATGCATGTGTAAAATACTTACTATAATATCTGTACTAAAATTCTAAAACATTACCAAGAAAAAAATGACGCCGCATTTTATAATAACATTAAAACAAAATGTATATTTGAAATATTTCTTTAAGGATACCAAACAAATAAAAAAAAACTAAATAAATGTGTGACACTTTTTTTGACGATTCCTTAATTTGATTATAACATATACCGCGGAGCTATATATTGTAGAAAATGTATGATTTGGGTTATTTATAAAATACAATATAATTAACTTTTAAGCAATTTCATTCATAATAGACCTTTTTGAAATGTTTCACGAGGTAACTTGTTACACAATGTCGTTAAAATCAAAGTCACATTTAAATCGTTACAAGGCACAGTTTAAATTTCTTGGACCTTAAATTTTAGTTTATTTAAACTTCTTATCATCATTTATTACTCTATTAATCTGAACTTCACATGGGAGTAATCCTTACACATTTATGCGAATAAAAATGCACTTACAGATTTTAGCACTTATTATTCAGATGCCTGTCAGGAATGAGCTGAAACTTATACAAACACGCTTATGCTAATAGAAAACAAAAATATTCATGATTACAATTACTTCCTCCAGGTAAACAATAAAATCTTCATGTTAAATGGTGCATTTTACGTGCACATTTTGAAATGGAACTGTCTGCATATTTTTCACAAAGTTTCAGACTTTATTAAATTTGTGTTGAAATTACATTTTAGTTTTGCAAAAGTCAAAGAAAATTAACTATATGTTTACTGATTTCTAGGGTTAAACTATTTAACAAAAATAATTTTCCAGACATGCAGTTGCTTTTAAATGGCTCTACTATAGAAAAAAAAGCCTAATAATTTATAACATAAACACGCGATGCTTTGGAAATGGTTTTTGATTTAAATTTTACATCACTTAATTACACTTCAGTGTAATTATATTTATAAAGAGTTAAAACAAGCTGAATATATATACAAGAAAGAATCATCATCATCTTGAAGGGGGCTATTTTTAATTTACTAGTACATATATTTCGACCTACTAATTTAAGAGTTCTTAGGCTAATTTACACAATAGACGCTAATTGTGCCTCATCATTGACCAAGAGTAATCTATGAAAAGCATCTGTATTACCTGGAATCGAAAACATAATATTGAGAAATTGCCAGAGGCATTCAGTGTTTTGAATAACAGGAAACTCAGCAGGTGTCCATGCTCCAAGTGACTTACATTTAAAATAGAGAGAAATAAAGAATCCCTAAAGAAAGCTTGAAAATGTTGCAGGCTCGGTTTGATTGAGATTGTTCATGGACGGTAATGGAAAGTGCAAGGTACCGTCCACGCCCCCTAGCACCGGATTAAGCAGAATTCAACATTTAATCATGGTAATGGTGAAATTTTGAATTTAGAAACATCCGCAGATGTGTTCATACGGCGGTTATCATGGTACCTTCAATGTGACACTTTCATGCCATTCCATGAGAAGCGTCGTATTGTCCCCAAGTGAAAGAATGCGTGTGCCCTAAACTAGAAAACAATAGGCGGAACGAAATAAAATGGAACTTTAAAAGGGGAGCAGAGGTTATGAAGCCTGCGTTTCACAGATATGACGTCGAAAGACAAATTTAAAAAGCGGGCAAAATATCTTAAGGGTGATTCAACATTATTCAAGTAGGAATATTGGAGCCACCCAACTAGAAAAATCCAAAAAAAAGTAAAAATTAAAAGTACCACAAACACAACAATAATGTCGTGCTGAACGATCTTTAAGGATCGAAAATATAAGCCAGTTTTGGCTACTATTTTACCCTTAATATGTCATCTTTAAAGATAAAAACTATTTTAAGCGTGTATGTGGGCTTCAGCCCCCTAAGCCCCCCCCCCCTTCCCCCAGTGGATCCGGGCCTGAGCCACTGCTCCCAAATATCAAGAAAATTTTAGTAAGAAACATATAGCGGGATATATCACGGAAATATACAACCTCTTTCATAAATATCTTGATTTATTATATAAATCTCAGGATTAAAAAAAAAGAATTCTGTCTTGTATCTTTTAAAGTGATATTATGCTCATCTTTTACTGCCAAATAGAGATAAATTAGATGTATATTTCAACTGATTTACAATTTTAGTAGCGATTGAGCAATATTAATAATTACTTTAATTACAAATGTTTAGGATAAAACATAAAATTGTCTAAAAACTCTTTTTAATAAATTAAAGCATTACCGATAATTGCCAAGAATATTTATAAATGTTTATATTGGTCGTGGGGGTTATTGATAATTCCGGTGACACAAAAAACAAAATATGTCAAAATGTTTAACTTATTTTAATTTTTACCTGAACACTGAGTATTTTTTCTCGGACTGGCATAATGTCACTTTTACATATCTATAGATGTTAAAAACATACTGATGTGTAACATGCGTAACATATTATTTGTAATTTTTGTTTAAAAATTACTTGTACATTACACAAAAAAAGAGAGAAAGGAAACATTATCAGAAGATAAAATATAATCACTTTATGGATTGAAAATTTATGTATAATCACAATTGTCATGTTTTGCATGTTAACTTGTTGGAACAATTTAAATCTTAGATATTGCCAAAAATGAAAATTAATTGCAACTTACAGGGATTTTTTTCCAGGAAGATCGTAAAGCTTTATTTGTTATATCCATGAGATACAATAATTTGTTTTGGTTAAATCATCAACATAGCGTGTCATAATAAAAAAAGTTATGTAATAGTCTCAATCAGTTTATTGGCAATCTAAGGAAAGATTAAGTAATAAAAACTAAAACCAATTTCCAAGATATGTGGGCTGGGCAGCACCGCCTGACTTAAAATTAAAATATTCTCAGTTTGAAAACTAGCAAGTAACTGTTTAGTTAACACTAATTTTTAGGTTTTTATCCTTTTCTATCCAAAATCCATATATACAACTACAAATATTTTATTGCATTAAAACAACATGTTCCATAGCAATACAATTTTTTTTATACAAAGACATGGTTTACAGAAGAGGACAATAATATAATATATGTATCTGCATTAAAGATGATAAGTTATTTCGCAAGTTTGCATAGTATATATATTTTGCTAAATTATTAATTATTATTAATCAAACAACAAACTCTGATTATTATTTACACCCAAAACATAGAAAACCAAATAACGTGTACTGCGTAACGCATCTATGGTTCCTAATTTCATTACGGGCATATTATGCCTTAGAAACAAATAAAATTTAACTTTTTTATAAAGGACAAACTTGACTTTTTTAGTTTTAATATAATGTTTGAATAATGGTTTCAGAGAACGTTAGATGTTTAAATACATGTACCTGATGAAAGTAGCTATAAATGTGAAATAATTTGTCATAAAAGTAGCAAATTGTTTACAAAGTAGTATTTAACTTCCAAACAAAATACTATTTCACTATAATAAGTGAACTTATTTCCAAAAAGCAACAGATGGAATAGATGGTGCAGGTAATTGACAATGAGAAATTTTTGGATGACATAAAAATACACCAAAATTAAAACGCTTTTGAGAAATATAAATAAAAATCATTTCTGAGATAATTGGCCTCAATCAAATATGTCGTTTCGATGCTAGCAGCATATAATGGATAGCAGAATATAACAGGGTGCACTATGGCTAATATACATGAAATTGACAAGAAAATATTCCAGCCTATCTTGAAAACGTATCTTGGGGAGGGTTGGGGAAGCTCTGAAGCAATTGGCCATTACTATATCGATTTCAGAAAAGCCGGGATCCAGTGATTTGACCACCTGTCATTGATGTTAAAAGATTTTTTTATATCAATTATGTTAAGCATATCTTATGATCTATTCCAATCCAATAATAATAATAATAATAATAATAATAATAAAAAAAAAAATAATAATAATCATTAATATATAAATAAACTTAAAATTAAGGTACTTAAGGTATTATCTATCTATTTAGGCATAGATCTTAAATAAAAATCCGGAAAATATGATTCCTAAAAAGCATTAATCACATCAAAGTTACACAAAAGTTCCAGACTCGCTTTCATTGAGTCTGTTCATGAGGGATATAATGAAAATGTGCAACATCCCTCATGTCCTCTAGCACCTTCAAAGTGCTGTTATCAATGATCCCGAAGGACCAGAAAAATATAACAACCCTGAAGTGAAGTACAGCAACTTTTTTACAGCTGCCACACGGCACTTGCCACCTAGCTGAGGAAAGAGTGATCCCTCGGAACAAAATCAGATAAAGATTGCAGACTCTGTTTGATTGGGTATTGTCGCGGCCATTATATACATACGATCTAATTGAAGAAAAAAAATAACGTTCTATTGCCAATCTTACTATTTGAGAGACCGGTGTACACAATGATCCCTATATATTTATAAGACGATCCCGGATCCCGGGTGGTATAAATTCCGGATCCCTGAACAGTTTATTCTAGCGTTTTGATTGGGTATTCGGCGATTTTTGCATCCAATAGGATGCCGTCTTTTGTAAAACCGCCATGTGAGATTCTACGGAGTGATGGATGCATACTGTTGAATGCTCACTGCAGAACCTGTGGTAACCGCTTGGACACCGTGTGATGTACAGCCTCTGTGTTAAGTGTTATAATCAAATAAAAGGTTTCCGAAAATGCAACAAAATGGGGGTATGAAATATGTCTGTACCTTTGATAGTTGAGGAATAATTGGATTTTGAAAATGTAATTTGTCACTTATCGCACATTACTCTGGCTAAGCACCCTGGGTTGGTAAACAGGTCTGAGAAATACCTTGAATCACACATTATCTATATATACACACATGATCTGTATATTTACAAAAATATAAATCTGTAAATTTAAAGAATCACAGTCCAAATAAAACAGTATTTCCGCCCTGCGCATCGAAAAACAAAAATCCGCATTCCAGTTCCACATTTAAAGAAACTTTCTGTAACATTCATTATAAATATTCGCCTCCAGCCAGTAGTCACAATTGTCTGATTCGCATCCAATCCACAGCTTCTGATTGGTTCTAGAATTGTCTGCGTACTTTTTCCCGCATACTCTGCAATGTCTATCATTGCCGATACCATTGCATTATTATCAATGAGGGCTCACTGGACCGCAACATCTGATGTGGTTTTTCCTCTCTGTCTTATCGCTTTGAGGGATAAATAGGCATCTGAGCAGCTTGGCATATCCACATTCTGCCTTGTCTGTTTAAAAAATAATTATGTTTACATTGAATTTTACATTGCTCACTGTTGCTATCCAAATGATTTAATAGTGCTAACCTGTCAAATGAAATACATAAACTTAGTTACACAATTACATTGCAGGAACTGATAGTGAAGAAGATTCAGATTAATATATACTTCATCTACATACCTGTCCATTTGTCGGCGTGTCTGTGTCTTTGGAACTTTTTGATGTATAATACTGGTCTCTAATTTGCAGGGTTATATCATCCCCAGTCATTGTTGCATATTCTAGAGCCTGGAATGTTTGTATGTAATTAATTAATTTAATTTAGTTATATACAAGTTATTGTTATTAAATTTCAAATATCAATAGTTTAACATTAACTTACTACTGAATATAAAAAGGTATTACCTTCTTAAATAGTCCATTTTTTCAGCTATGGCGGACCTGTTGCCTCTTGTTTTTGTCTTCAATGAAACATACTTCGACCAGGGCTCCAGATAATTTTTTAGGGCAATGAGTATTTACTCATTGATTTTTTTGTGAATGAGTAAAACTTGAAATCTGAAATTTGACAGGAGTATTTTTACTCCTTAAAATGTATGTAAAAGAGTAAAAGATTTATTATGCTTCCATGTTTATTGCATTATTATATGTGTAATACAAGATATGTCAAAGTCATTTCTTTTTCTTTTTGGACTCCCTTGGTTTATAATCTTGCATTTCCAAACGGCATACGTTTTATCTGAACCTGAGGCATGTTTCTGTTGCTCATACGTGGCAGCGCTAATTATTTCATTAATTATAACCGTCACAATTACTTTTGGGTCAATTTTTTTTTCGGCTGAAAATATGAGTCAATCATTTTAACTTTTGACAGCGACATTGTACCGGGTTAATTCCACCACCTTACTATACATACGATAACAACCGATGATAGTCGGAACTACAGGAAGTTACCGTTAGACGTTGCAAAGCATTCATATGAAGTTATTTCCACCACCATACTATGCATACGATAACAACCGATAATGGTCGCAAATACAGGAAGTTACCGGTAGACGCTTGCAAAGCGTTTAGACGAAATTGAAAATAAAATAATCACCGAGTTTACTTTTGGTTACGTTTACGCGAAAGAAATGTTGCTCAATGCGTAACCTGAATTTTGTGTGCGTTTTCATACGCTTAAATTCTGTTTTGAATGCGTAAACGTGTTATTTCCATGCGTAATTTACGCGTATACGCATCTTATCTGGAGCCCCTTCTTTTTGACAATGCAGCTACCGGTGCCTTTCCCTTCTTGTGGGCTGTCTGCCTTTTACGTCCCAACTGAAAGGGATGCTGTGGGAAAAAGAAAATTTAGTGAAAAGAATATGTTCATTTGATAAAAACACTAAAGCTTTAATTATATTAAATTTAAGTTTTAAATTGTTTCAAAATGACTATTTTGATATAATATATGAATATGTATGATATTTTAAGATACAATAATAATTGGAAATAAGAAAGATAACTGCCGAACTTGAAAATCAAGCTCCTGGCTGCTGCAGCTGCGTGATGCTAAAAAAACGTAACCAGTCTATATAATTAGTCACATTTTCAAGATGGCAGACAGCAACACCAAGTTACGACAGTGTAACATTTTATAATGTATATTTATGTTTGTTTATATCTCTAATTTATATTTGCTTTAATTCAGTTCAAAATTGCGGAACAAAGTATGAAATAGGTATGTTATTGAAAAAATAACTTTTTAAAACGTGTACATACCGATGTTGCCATGTTTTCAAGTAGTTTTTCTTACGGGATTTTTGTGTTTATATGTTGCACGGGAAAAACAAGGTTTTTCGAAAGGCATTTCTGTGTTTTTACAAAACATCGATTTTGTAAATATTAAGGGTGTAACGGTTTACCGGTATACCGATATATTGCAATGTGAAAAAATAAATTTCGTACCGCGGTACGATTTTTGGAAAACCGGTATTTTATAAAAATCATAATTTTCAATTAATTGCCTTCTAATTTTGTACAAATTTCACATAAAATCTTTAATTGGCCAATTTTGTTGGCGCCAACGTAAGATAAAAGTATCCGACAACTAGTACACTTAGAGGTCAATAAGCGGCCGCATAATTTACATAAGCGGCCCAGATGTGAAAGGTCACACGCGACTACTTTTGTTTATCAAATTGTGTGACACTTTACTTTCTATTTATTCCTTACATTTTTATTAAGTTTCTACTAAAAATATATACATATGATAATAATATATAAATGTTACTCCATCTTTACATCAAAACATATACAAGACAATACGTATTGCAATATATTGCAATACGCTTCAGCAAAATGGCAATATATTGCAATACGGTTTTTGCTGTATTGTTACACCCCTAGTAAATATACAGATCATGTGTGTATATATAGATAATGTGTGATTCAAGGTATTTCTTAGACCTGCTTATCCCTCATTACTCTGGCTAAGCACCCTGGGTTGGTAAAGACTTGAAACCTTCTTCAGCAGTGCCGTTGCCGACAGTTGTTTCGCATGATAGCTGTAAGCAGAAAAATTAAATGAAAGTATTAAAGAGTCAACAATTATAATATAAATGTATATTCATTTGAATGATATTATACAAATTAGAAATTAACATTAATTATATTTATATTGTATCACACACATTTTTCATGATCAATTATCAGTCTGTGATCATTATACTAGCTCTGTTCAAATATATTACTAATGAAATTCAACTTGACATCGATTTATTATGCCCCCACAATGTGGGAGCATATAGCGTTGCACTTGTCCGTCCGTCAGTCCGTCCGTACGTCCCGATATCTTGTGAACGCAACTCCTCTTAAACCGCATGGCAGATTTTGCTTAAACTTACAGGGATGAACAACCTTAATGTGTAGATGGCAGTAAAGGAAGGAATTTTTGCTGCGACCAAATTTAACAGAATAATGGCCCTTTGTTGAGTTTTTCACTAGATACTATGTAGAAATTTTGTGAACGCTACTCCTCTAAAACCGCATGGCAGATTTTGCTTAAACTTACAGGGATGAACAACCTTAATGTGTAGATGGTAGTAAAGGAAGGAATTTTTGCTGCGACCAAATTTTACAGAATTATGGCCCTTTGTTGATTTTTTCACTATATACTATGTAGAAATTTTGTGAACGCAACTCCTCTTAAACCGCATGGCAGATTTTGCTTAAACTTACAGGGATGAACAACCTTCATGTGTAGATGGTAGTAAAGGAAGGAATTTTTGCTGCGACCAAATTTTACAGAATTATGGCCCTTTGTTGATTTTTTAACTATATACTATGTAGAAATTTTGTGAATGCAACTCCTCTTAAACAGGATGGCAGATTTTGCTTAAACTTCCAAGGATGAACAACCTTTATGTGTAGATGTTAGTAAAGGAAGGATTTTTTGCTGCAACAAAAATTTAACAGAATTATGGCCCTTTGTTGATTTTTTCATTATATACTATGTAGAAATTTTGTGAACGCAACTCCTCTTAAACCGGATGGCAGATTTTGCTTAAACTTCCAGGGATTAACAACCTTAATGTGTAGATGGTAGTAAAGGTAGGAATTTTTACTGCGACCAAATTTAACAGAATTATGGCCCTTTGTTGATTTTTAGTTTTCAACTTGTGGCACATGTAGTCCAAAAAATATTTGACCTAGAGTCATAAGATTGACAGAACAGAGGCGTGTGGGGGCATCCGTGTCCTATGGACACATTTCTAGTTTTTTTCTACGTTTGTAGTATCATACAAAATAAATTAAGGAATCCATAAATTAAAATATGTAAATCGTTGATAAACTACACAAAAAATGTAAGGGTCATTTTTATGCCCCCACAATGTGGGAGCATATAGCGTTGCACTTGTCCGTCTGTCTGTCCGTTCGTCTGTATGTCCCGAAATCTTGTGAACGCAACTCCTCTTAAACCGGATGGCAGATTTTGCTTAAACTTCCAGGGATTAACAACCTTAATGTGTAGATGGTAGGTAAGGAAGGAATTTTTGCTGCGGCCAAATTTAACAGATTATGGCCCTTTGTTGATTTTTTCACTATATACTATGTAGAAATTTTGTGAACGCAACTCCTCTTAAACCGGATCGCAGATTTTGCTTAAACTTTCAGGGATTAACAACCTTAATGTGTAGATGGTAGTACAGGAAGGAATTTTTGCTGCGACCAAATTTATAGAATTATGGCCCTTTGTTGATTTTTTCACTATATACTATGTAGAAATTTTGTGAATGCAACTCCTTTTAAACCGGATGGCAGACTTTGCTTAAACTTCCAGGGATTAACAACCTTAATCTGTAGATGGTAGTAAAGGAAGGAATATTCGCTGCAACCAAATTTAACAGAATTATGGCACTTTGTTGATTTTTACATTTCAACTTGTGGCAAATGTAGTCCAAAAAAAAATTTGACCTAGAGTCATAAGATTGACAGAACAGTGGCGTGTGGGGGCATCTGTGTCCTATGGACACATTTCTAGTGTTTACCTGTTATGCACGACGTTTGATTCCTGGTATGACCTTTCACACTCAACCGACACTATGCTATCGTTGTTTTCTGTTGTTTCCATGGACTCAACCGAAGCTGGCATCTCTGTTTCCATGGACTCTTCTTAGGTAGATGTATCATGCTTGCGCAATTGCTGACATCCACAACATGTGAACAACAGCTCCGTGTTTCCATGTATGGCATCCCTGTATACATTGCGTCTGTGATATGCCTAAAATATGTAATAAATTAAACCAAAACCCTAAATTATAATTAAAATTTTGTTCATTTATTTTTGTAGTCATTTATTAAGTCTTGTACAAGAAAAAACAACATTCCATAATTCCACAATAAAAAAGTTTATGCATAGATACAGACAAAGTTGAACAGCATTAAAAGCAGAATATTAAATTAAAAGCATGGCATAAATATTCATTTGAAATCATTTTTATCAAGAGTCTAATATATATGTTTTTTATAATTATACTAAGACTTTTTTCAATTTTGTTAATTATGATTTTATACACAGAGATGGAATCAAGGTAAGTAGAATTACTCATTCAGCTTTAAAGACGGCACAGTCTAAAACGCGGACGTCTTAAGTTGCTGTTGATATAATTTCTTTTAATTTAGATTTTTTTTAATTGGTTCTTTTATAGTTTTTTAATTTAAAGAAATTAAATTTAGATTGATAAAATATATATAATATATCCAGATGTGTCGGACACGTGTAACTAATAAACAGCTAATTTAAAGCAATCAAGTGTGAACAACATGCTACCTGATTAAACGTCTCACTCTTTAATTGGATGGATATCTCTATAAATAAGTATTTTTCGGACAAAATAATCATAACAGAACAGAACATTTACTTTAATTTCTCTCAATTGTCTCAATTTTGTAATGAATTATTTTTAATTGGTACATTTATGTTAAAGTGCAATTCTCAG